TGAGCTACCGCGCCCGGCCTGAACTTACTTTTTAAAGGAATTTTTAGTCAAAACTCTGTAAAAAAAAAATTTATTACAAAGAGAACATGTCGTTCTCCCAGTTGTTCAAGATGGCATGTAAACTGCTGTGTTTGGAGACGGCGCTCTCGAGCACCGTGTGGATTTAGGGGTTGGATCACGCTGCGTGAGCATGTGGAGGTCCAGGTGCAGCCCCAGAAACCGTGAGCCGTTTCTGCCCCTGGCGGGTCGCAGGTCACAGGCAGAGGTCGGAAGGGAAGTCCCACCACGAGCGTGCCCTGCCCAGCTCCTGCTGGGTCTGTGTGCTGCAAGGTGGGATGACATAGGAAGCACGCGAGGCGTGGAGGTGGCCAGGGTGGGGCGGGTTGCCAGCCACCACTGCCCGAGGCCTCTGGGAGGCTGAGCAAGCCGGCAAGGAGTCCGCCTGCGTCAGAGGCCTGGCTGTGGCCCAGTGGTGCCTCGACACTCGCGCAGCAATGTGTGGGGCGGAGGCCCTGTCTGGGTTGGCCATGTAACGCTGGGCCCTCCTTTGCTGTCCCGAAAGGAGATGTCCATGCGGTTTTTGTGGTCAAACCCATTTTAATCCAAAAGTGTTTTCTACAGTAAGTTGCTTCAGCCCTGGGGACGAGAACCCTGATTGACAGCATTTCAGCCTTGGCCTGAGCTCACCAGGGCTAAAACATTTCCCTTTATCCAGTGGCTCAAAAAAATTAATTTTTTTAAAGACATTTACATTTTAGCACAAAATTTGGCTTTGAAAAATATGAGGTGTGTGTGATATTCTTAAAACACTGAAACCAAAGGCACTTGCCTCGATCCTTAGAAATGCAAGTACGCACACAGCTGTGGTCACCGGTTCCCGTGGCGGCTCAGTGGCCCAGGAGCCTCCGCACAGACCCGCGAGTGTGCCGCGGCGGTGCTGGGGCTGCCCTGACCAGGCGGGACGCAGCCGTCGACCTGGTCGGTCGCTGAAACGGATCTTCCCGCAGCCCGAGCTGACGCTGGAGCAGGAGGACCTGGCGGAAGGGAAGCACGTGAAAGCTGCCAAGAGGAGTCACAAGAGGAAGCAGAAGCCGGAGGAGGGGGCGGGGGCGCCGGTGCCCGAGGACGCCACCTTCAGCGAATACTCGGAGAAAGAGACGGAATTCGCGGGCAGCGTGGGCGACGAGACCAGCTCCGCGGTGCAGAGCATCCAGCAGGTTGGTTTACTCTCTGCGCTCGGCTCAGGCCAGCCACTTCACGGGAACAGCGTTCCCTGAGTGCGAGTCTGCTCCCGTGACTCCAGTCCCTTTCCTATCCCTGCAGCCTGCAGCGTGGACCTCGCTGGCTGAAGCAGCGGAGACGTCCCATTTCTCACTCGTGTCACGTAGCTTTCCGAGTGCTGAGTGCAAATCACACTTGCCGTTAACGGCTACGTGACGCTCTAGCGTGTTGAAGAGAGACGTCTCCCCCTGGTTGGGGGTGGTTAGGTGGGTTGTTTCCAGTTTTGGGAGGTGACAGATGGCCCGCCTCAGCGCCCTTTTTGTAGAAGTGCAGCTCTGTGCACGCGCTGACCAGCCCGGGAAGCAGGACCTGGGAGCCCGAGGGTTCCTGCAGGGAGGGTTGCAGGGTGAAGGCAAGGAAGGGCGTGGCCGGCCGGTCCCGCCTCCCTGGGTGGAGCCTTGCACCGCGCTCCACCGTCATCGCTTTTGCTTCTGAAGCCCCAGCGTTGGCGCGGTCCGTGTCTGATCCCGCGCGCTGTCGCGTGCTTTTGGAGATGGTAATCCCCATTGCAGAATCCTTGCGTTCGGCCTCCCGTTGCTCTCCGTGAGGAAGAGCGCTGCGTTCTTTCTTACTAGCTGTCGGTACTGCAGATGCTTCTGTCGCCCTTTTCAGCTTCCAAGTTGGGATTTTCATTTGCCAACAGCCAGGCAGTTTAGAGACGGGAATGGAAAAGGAAGAATCTCCTTTTTGCCATTTTCATGCTAACTTTTCTCTATTTTTCTTCTAGCCAGTGAAATCCATTTGTTTCTCGGTTCTTTCTCATTGCTGCCATGATTCTGTCTGTATCTCATTTCTCTTTGTCACTGGAATTATTTTTCCAGAACAGAATTAACTTGGTTTCCTCTTTCACCAAGGAACTTTGCGCTTCCCTCCCTCGGGCGAGGTGTGTGATTGTCCCAGCACGATACACACAGTGCCTGTGGGGAGGTTACTTTCTTCTCCATTTTGCAGAAACAATGACTGTCTTTTGTCACGTGTGACTGTTCCAGGTGGTGGTGACCCTGGGTGACCCTAATGTGACTGCCCCGTCGAGCTCAGTCGGCCTGACCAACATCACAGTGACTCCCATCACCACTGCAGCCGGGACTCAGTTTACCAATCTCCAGCCGGTGGCCGTGGGGCACCTTACCACCCCCGAACGCCAGTTACAGCTGGACAACTCCATCCTGACCGTGACCTTTGACACCGTCAGCGGGTCCGCCATGCTGCACAACCGCCAGAACGACGTGCAGGTCCACCCGCAGCCGGAAGCCTCCAACCCGCAGTCCGTGGCGCACTTCATCAATCTGACCACCCTGGTCAACTCCATCACGCCCCTGGGGAGCCAGCTCAGCGACCAGCACCCGCTGGCGTGGCGGGCGGTGCCGCAGACGGACGTCCTGCCGCCCCCGCAGCCGCAGGCGCCCCCGCAGCAGGCGGCGCCGCCCCAGGTGCAGGCGGAGCAGCAGCAGCAGATGTACAGCTACTGAGCCCGGGCGGGGGCGGGCGAGACCCACAGCGAGGGCATGTTGGATGTTTTTAGATTTGTTTGCTGAATACCAAACAAACAAAAAAGTCATACATTGCGACGTAAGTAAGGTTGACTTAGCTTTTACAGAATTGTCTCCAAATCCCTCCAGTGACCACCACGGTCCGTCAGCTTAACTCGAGAAGTGACCCGACAGGCCGAGTGTTAAACCAGGTCGGGTTCCACGCCGCACCTTAGCAAGGCGGAGCATGGGGGCCGGGCCACCCCACCTGCCCTTCCAGGCTGTCTGTGTCCGCGGCTTTGGGGACGTGAAACGTGGAAGCAGGTTCCCAAGAGGCAAGTGATAAGTTGCTAGGAGCATAAATGGTTCATTTCTTCCTTTCCTTTGAGCTCAGTTACTGCATTAAATTTAACAGACAGTGTTCACCCATGGCAGCCCGCTGCAGGGAAACACGGTTTTCTCCTCCTTTGGGATTTTTGCAGCAAGTGAGCAGGTAGAAGTTTAAGTAACGTTTGTTGTCTTCTTTGAAATATGAGTTGAGTCGATCTGCTACACGTTGGGCTGGAACCAGGTGTGAGGTGTGCCCTGCAGCATGTGCGCCTCCAGCCTTCAAGGTCATCCTGGGGTCGGGCGAAGTCACTGACTCCGGCATCAGAGACATCTTAGTAATACCCGTGAATCGATGTTCAGTGTAGTTTTTTCATTTTTTTACTTTATCTCAGACATACATTATGTATTCAAGACTGTGTTGTGGCCAATATTGTTTTTTAACTTTATTTTAACATGAGTCGTTTGCACTGTAGGACAGTGGGTCTGGTCCAGTTCTGCACGCTGCCCCAGGCACAGGTGCGCCCGGGTGTGTGTGGGGAGCCCTCACAGTGGTCTCAGGACTCTGCCATCCACGGTGTTTATTCGTGAGCTCAGCAGAGCCCCCTGGATGGGAGGATAGGGAACACATTCATGTGTCCTCTTGTTTAAACTTTAATTCCAAAGGCTGACGTGTTTCAAGACCAACACAAAGAAAGTTCTGAGCTCGCCGGGTGGGAAAAAGCAGGGGCAGCTGGTCCAGTCGCAGAAGCAGTAATTGCCCCTAATAAATGAATGTGCGGATGAACAGCCAGCTCTGCGTGTGTGGGGACACGTGCTGTCATACGCGTGTGCAGCTTCAGGGGTGTGGGCCAGGCTCGCGGACGAAGAGGCCCCGCCGCCAACGCCCTGCTGCCCAGCCACGGGAGCACCAGGAGGCCGGGGGAGAAGTTCGATTCTCACTTTCCTGATATTTTTGTAACATTGTCCAAATGAAATGATAAACTTGCCTTATTTTGCCCTTGGTCCCTACTGGTCCCAGATCTCATGTTCCCTGGGAGGCCATCTCGAAGAAACACCGTGGACCATCAGTGATTGGCAGCCGAGGCCAGAGGGACGCGATGTCGCCAGCGAGGCACAGGTGGTTTGTGTTACACAGAATGCACCTTTCTCACCACTTAACGCCATTCCAGACAGCAGGCTTCTGCGGACAGGGCCAGAACGTGTTTGTGCAATACACGCCTTCGTGGGCTCGGGAGAGCGCCGCACACAGGCAGCTGCGGGAGGCCTGCGAGCCCGCTCCCCCATCCCAGCTCCCGCCTCTCAGCCGCATCATAGTGGGAGAGACTTTTACTTTTTAATTTATGATAATTATTTTTATGTTATTTATGTATATAATTAACTACTTTATACATAATAGTTTCATCAAATGAACTTGGGCTAGGAGTGATATATTTTCTAAAATACTGTCTCCATCCTCCAAATGTGCGTGGTCCAGGCATCCACCGGCTCAGAGAGAGATCCAGGGTTCCTGAGATATTTTTGTAAAACTCGATGACGATTTCTTTTCGCCTTGGCGGAACCTAGCGGGCAAACGAGCTAGGCAAGAACCCACACGGGCCCTGGGCTCGTGATCCGACATCACTAGCGTTTACCTTTTATTCCTCTCCCCTGTGAGGAAAGGCCTTTGAGATCACAATTTTATTTTTCTAAAGAAGTTGTTTTAGTGCCTAGAGTAAGACTGCATCAGATGTTTTTAAAGAACCTAACGTAGACTGTGGCCCTGGTGTGTCGCCACTATCTATTTAAATGCCAGACGCGTCATACTTGTTACAATAAGGGAGCACTCTAAATAACAGTCAGACTTACTCCCAGGTTTCCTGGAAACACACGTGGTCTTACTGGGGCCACGGCCTGAGGGACAGCGCGTGGCCGCGAAGCAGTCGCTGTGAGTTTGCGTGTTCATAACTGGATGCAAAAAACAAAAGTACTGCTCAGCACGGTCGTTGAGTGCACACTGTCTGCATATTTATCACTGTTTATCGACAGAAAGTATTTAATTTTTTAACTGATCCACGGTGCACAGATGTATCCATAAAGGAAGAAATCAGATCGAGCCATTGTGGCCTCTGAGCTCTGTGAATCCATCTCAGTTGTTATAAATTAATAAATTATGAGAATTTATTTTCGGTCTGTGGATCTGTGGCTCTGTGCGGTGAGGTGCCACACGCCGGTGTGTACGGCCGCTCCCCTGGACTGGCGTGCTCTGTGTGGAGGCGGCCCGGGGCCCCGGACGGTTCTGGCGGGTGGCGTGTTCTCTCAGGAAAGCATTCTGTGCCAAGTGCCCCTCACCGTGTCCGCCGGGAGCTGCTCTGGAGAGTTCCGGGCATGGCAGGCAGATTTCCTGACGGTACGTGGTTTTCCCGCTCATGGCTTCCCCTAGGTGCGGTGTCTCTGACTTTCCCGTTGGAATTTGAAAGGCAGTAAGACTGTTCTGAGACGTCGAGTGTATTTCGTGTTACATCAGTTTGTAAGATGATAAATAAAAGGTGCTGCGACCTGTGTTTTTCAATTGCTGACCCTCTGCTCAGACCCTCTGCCCATTGCGAAGAGTTGACACACCTGGTGTATTTGGAGAACGGTTGCGATTCCTGCTATCAGCTACATGTTGATTTCTCTCCAGTCCAGACCTGTAAAACATTTGGATTATTTGAAGTGTTCCCTGAGAGATTGAGGTATCAGAAGCTTTCTCAGGGATTACACGCCGCCCCCCCCCAAAAAAAGACAAAGTGCATATAACATTTTTTGTAAAGCTTAGATCGAGAGAGACTGGGCACCAAGAGAGACCCGTAGCCGTAGGGGACATTTAGCAGGCATTTCCTCAGGGTTTGAACTGTGAGAACCACATCCTGGACGTTTTGGTCCTGATTTAGATAGTGTCTGGTAACAGCTAATTCTTCTGCCAGTAAGGAGGATTCATTCGTTTAGCATTTAACTAATTACGAGCACTTTCGTACACGCGCCAGGCCTGTGTGGTTCTCTCTGCACGCAGAGGCAACCCAGAAATGCTCCAGAGGAAGAAACGGTGGCGACTGTCGTTATGGACACTTGGTTCATCAGCGCCCGTGTTTCTTGTAGAGTACAAAGTGCCACGTAGCGATTGGCTCTGCTGACTGCCACGTGATGTGATGAGAAACGAGCGAGGTCACAGCCTGTGGTGCAGCCTTTTCACATGCATTGAAAACAAGTTCCCGTAGAGAGAGGGAAACAGCTCGCCACTGGCTCCTTCCTCGTCATTTTTTATATCTGGCTTGAGTGTGTCACCATCAAAGTGTTTGGTTTGACAGGGATGCATGAGCTTGCGTGTGCAGCATTGCGATCAGAATTATCTGGAAAGGGCCTGGGTTGCCTCGACGAGGCTGGCCAGGGCCTCCCTCTGGCCCGAGCCTGGCTTCCCACAGAGCTGAGGGCTTCCCCTCCCTTGGCCCTGGACTGTGACTGCCCCGGGCCCGCCCTCCCCAGGTGCAGGCAGCTGGCGCTCCCAGTGTCCTCAAAGCATGGCCCCCCACATCCAGACTGCCCTGGAACCAGGTGGGCTGCTCTTTCCCCACTGACAGATTCGCCTTCTCATATGTGTTCCCTAAAAAGGGAGGCCCCGGGGGAATGTGGAGCTGCCCTGTCTTTAGAGACACCCCTCTGGGAGACGGAGGACAGAGACCCGTGGCTTCACGGCCGCCAAGTACAGCCTGTCCCACGCGTGGGACGTTCAGTTCCTACTGACCGCTATTGTGCCACCCTGCCTGCGTTTCACCTGGAGCTTGGCCTGAACCCCAGAGCCCTTGCTTCTGTCCTGAGTGTGAGGCACAGAATCTGGCAGCGAGGTAGTAATGGGCAAGAGGGAGCTGCCTCTGCGCTGTAGGGAGCAGCCCAGGAAACCCGAAGGCTGCACCATCTGCTGACCAGAGACAGTCTGGAATGGGGGTGCTGGCTGCAGTTAGGGAGTCCTGTGTGGCTTTGTGCTTTGCCATTGTTTCTTGAATTAAAGTATACCGATTCCTCCCCACCTGGCTGGCTGAAGGATCAGCAGGCTCTACACGTCCCACTCCCAGAGTTCATGATCTTTCCCAGCCCCCATGCTCAGCCAACAGTCCTCTCACCACCTGATCACACAAGCTCGGAACCCAGTGTCATCCTGGGCAGGTCCCTGCCTCCCACATTGACATCCGAGTACTTTTGAAAATGTCTGGGTTGCACCACCTCCTCTGCTGCTCCCCGACTCCACCCTTGCAGCTGACACCCCCTAAGCAGCCATCCAGCTTCCCCTCTGTCCCAGGGAGTCCGTCCTGCCTTATGTGGCCCCAGCGACCCTGCAAAAGTGCGTGTTCCATTGTGTTGCCCACGCACCGAGCCCACTGTCCTCCATTGGGTCCTGAGAGTTCTCTGAATACCGCCAGATCCTCTCTGTAGCCTCGAGACCTGCAGGGTCTGGCCCTGCATCCCCGCAGTCTTCTCTCTCGCCCCGGGGTCTTTGCATGTGCCATTCACACTGTGTGGAGGGTCTCACGTGCAATTCAGTTCTCTGGTCTGAACACTTCTGCTTCTAACCAAGATGGAGTACTTGAAACGGCTAAAAGCCCAGACAAGGCACGTGAAACAATGGTATCGAAGACACTGGCCATCGGGAGTGAAGGACA